GTGACCCACCCAGAATTGAGTGCTAAAGACACTTTAGACTCTGTCCTTTCCAGCTGTACAACATGCTTCATAGACTATACTGGAAGGATCTGATTTGGAAACCAACTAATCAAACAGGGCTTTCTCTTAAATTCACCAGTAGCAGATTTAGGATACTTACATACTTACTCCCTTAGACTTAAGGCTGAAATGCTGTGGTGTTAGGTCGCTATCCCAAAGCTATGGACTTGGTCATTATTGAACTTGGGTTGGGATCTTTTACTTAGAGAAAGCCCAGTGAATGGCGACCTGAGACAACATGCTTAATATTTTCATGCTCTCACTTTTTTATGACATGTTCATCTGGCAAGCATAGTTCCACCTTTGTGAAAGTTTTGTCCTATGCAGAACCGTCACTGTTCATGTCAATAGTCACGAGATTTTAATCTGTATTAAGTCGACAATGCATGTATTGCTGTCTGAAGAGCCAGCCTTTACACGTATAATTTCAATTTCTGAACAGTGTTTAAAATTCTCTAACATTGGCTAAATGAGTGATTCTATCAATAGAATTTAAAAACTCAACTCACTGCCATTGAGCCTGTCCCTGTGGGTTTCCAAGACTGTAACTCTTTACAGGCATAGACAACTCATCTTTCGTTCACAGAATAGTTTTGAACTGCTAACAGTTCATAGCCCAATGCATAACCACTATGACACCTCAGCCCGTGCCCATGGAAGCAACAGTCAAGAGATCAAATGACACATTGCACTGGGTTTATATGCTGCCCAAGACCTCTTTGAAGCGTTGAAAAAGAGGGAGATCACTTTGAGGACTACCCACACCATGGTATTTTTAATGGTCTCATAGGCATAAGAAAGTGGGACATTGAATAAGGAAGGTTGGAGAAGAATCGATGCATTTGAATGATGGTGCTGGCAAAGACGGTTGAAAGAACCATGGACGGACTGCCAAAAGGACAAGCAAATCTGTCTTGGCAGAAGGACAGCTCTTTGGAGGCAAGGATGGAAAGACTTCATCTCACATACTTTGGACATGTTGTCAGAGAGACCAGCCCCTGGGAAAGGACATCATGGTTGGCAAAATAGAAGGCAGTGAAAAAAGAGGAAGGCCTCAACAAGACGGATTGGCACAGTGGTTGCAACACTGGGCTGACATGCAGAACAACTGTGAAGACGGTGCAGGACCAGGCAATGCTTCATTCTGTTGTACATACATAGGGTCACTGTGAGTTGGAACCAATTTGATGGCACTTAACAACATCAATAGAATTACCTTATGCCCTTAGGGATAATTTCTAATGTTCTCTATTCCAAAATGATGATGTCTCTAAAATGAAGCAGGCATCTATAAACCACAGATATATGAATGGATTTGAAGCTTGCATTTAATTATAGCCCTAACCTAAAAACAATTCATTCTTATGCCATGTCTCTACTCAATACTTTCCCACATGAAGAGATCACTGAAAATATAGGTGCGATAGAAAACTGTGGTGAAGAAATCAGAAAGAAGTGTTTCCAATCGTATTAAACAACTATTGTTTGATAGCAATTTGGCATTCATGTTTCCAGATTTAACATATGAAAATAGAGATAACCAGACAAATTTGTGTTTCAGATAAACAAATAATCATGTTTTAGTGTAAATGCATGCCATGTAATTAATAGTTGCAGAACAGGTAGCATATTTTACTAAGATTACAGTTCCAAATGAGCTGGCTAAATAGTACTATTTTAAAACAGGTTGGACTAATCTGAAGCTAATTTGGGATCACTATGAAAGGGTTTCAGAGTTAAAAGTCAACAAGTGAAACTCACTGCCATTGAGCTGACCCCTACCTGTAGGATAGGAGAGAACTGCCTCAGTGGGTTTCTGAGATGGTGAATCTTTATGGGAGTATCAAGCCTCATCTGTCTTCCTGTGGAGAGACTGGTGGTTTCGAACTGTCGACCTTGAGGTTAACAGTCTAACATATAACCAACTACACCACCAGTGTGGGCCTTTCCCAGAATAAAGTGGACATCAAATTCCAGCCTGACACCATCGAATCTGTATTCTGTTCTGAACCACCATTAAACTAACCAGCATCTGCTCTGCAACATGTGTTATGAACATCTATACTACACGGTGCTGAAACATTCATTCTTCCAGGAAGATAAGACCCAGTCCTTTTCACAGGTACTTAATCGTGCTGTTGGTGACAAAGATGGATCTATATTACTTTAAAAGCAAAATCAAATCCTACTGAACTTTGATTGCCAATAAAATCGTTGTGTCTTGTGGTGGTAGTGGGTTCTCAGTTCAATTTGTAGTCCAAATTGATTCACCTCTCCATACTTATTGGCCAAATGGATGTCTTTGTGAACTTGTTTTTTGCCCAAGTTGGGTATGCACACTGCAAATATCTTCAACTATTATTTAACTTTTCGCTCACTGACGTCATTTGATAAGTTAAATGTTCAATTTTAATATAACCCTACTCACTTCCCCCAATACACAAGATGTATTGAGTGTTGTGACCAGTTTATTAAAACAAAACTTTGTCTACTCCAAGGACCTAAAGATATTTTTATTCCTAATAGCTACTGTTTCCTTTGCCTTTCACATAATGCACTGGCAATCCATTTTGAAGTGTTTTTGGTAGAGTATAAGGTAAATGTAAAAATACATCCTTTTCTCAGATGGAACTACTGGGTAAGCAGTATATTGCTTGCTGCAAGCTCAGTCAGAAGTTCAACCCAGCAGTAGCTCAGTGGTAGAAAGATGAGGCTGTCTGTTCCCATAAAGATTAACAGTCTTAGAAACCCAAGAGTTGGAACCGACTCAAGGGCAGTGGGCATGGTTTGGGTTTATATATAATCGACAACGTATCATATTATCAAAAAGATCATCCTTCTACTAATGCACTTGTGTTACTTAAAAAAAAATCAAATGTCCATTTAATGTGGTGGTCTATTTCTGGACTTTATTCAGTTCATTAATCAGTCTATCATTGCAACAATATCACATGGTTTCACTGTTGCGTTTTAGAGTAGCAACATAACTTTCAGGTGGAAACCATCAGGAACCTCAACTCAGTCTCTCAACAGGATGATCATGGACACACGTTCATTGAACACAGAATAACGCGATCCCTGAAGTGACGATGACTGCTGGTCATTCATATCAAGTAATCTGCGAATTCTGTGGCAGTGAACATCACAACGACCAGGAAAGGCCTTTGAGAAACTGTGTGGTAGAAAACCTCTATGCCAGTGAAGAAGATAAATATAAAGAAACTGATCAATACGGACAATGTTGCTGCGGGGCTGCAGATCTTACTAGTCTTAAAGGAGCACCTGGTATAAATTTTTAACTTTGGTGAAAGTGAAAATGGTACATTTAATCATGAGGTCAGATCTCACCAGTATAAGGAATGTAGAGAAAGCTGCAATAGGCCCAGTTGCCTAAAGCCTCATTCAAAACCACGTGCTGGAGAGAAAATGTGTAACTTTATGGACTGTGGTAAACTCGGTACTAGTTCCTCGGCCCTTATGAAATGTCTAGGAACTCAAAATGGCTTTTTATATGTGAAAAATCTTTACTCAGTCCTCACAGTTCATTGACCAACAAAACACACAATGAAGTAAGTCCTATAAATGTAGAGAACATGAGAAACCCTTCCTTTGTCCCTCAATACTCACTAAACATATGGGGACTTAGTGGAAACCTTATGAATGTACAGAATGTGGAAAAGCCTTTTGAAATTCTCCAATGTTGGACAGATAAAAGTCCTAAGAGGCACGTCATGTAGGAAAACGTTTTATTCAAGCTCAAATCTCAGTAGACATAGACAACTCAGTGGAAAGTGGCCTTATGAATGCACACAATGTGGGAAAGCCTTTGGACACCCCTCAACACTAAGTGTACATATAAAAACTCAGTGGAGACATGAATGTAAGGCGTGTGGGAAAATGTTTTATCAAAGCTCAGCACTAACTAAACCTTCAAGAACTCAGTGAAGAGAGAACATGCTTGCAAGTATGTGGGAAAGCCTTCGGACAGTGCTCACACCTCAATGAGCATAAGAGCACAGTGGAGAGAAGCCACACAAATGTAAAGAATGTGGGAAAGCACTTAATAATTCTGTAGCTCTAACTAAACAAAGAATATCATAGTGGAGAGGCCTTATGTATGTAAAGAATGTGGAAAAGATTTTATTCAATTCTCACACCTCAGCAAACATGAGGGGAATCCTTTTACAAACAATCCAAGTGGTGCAAGGCAGTGGTCCAAATTCATCGTGAAGAAGCTGTCCTGTGGATTGCAGGGTGTTCACAGCATCTTTGGTACCTACTTCTTAAATACCAGTGGCACCCCACAGGTGTGACAATCAAAAATATCTCCAGAAATCCTCCCCTCTGTCTCCGCCTCCATCCCTGCCCCGAAAACAACAAAATACCTCACTGCTACCAAGTCAATTCCGACTCAGAGACCCTAGCCTGCGTGGCAGTTTGAGGGAAGGGATGTCCCTCAGGCACCTAAGAGAGTTGGAGGGTAGCTACTGGAAGACTGAATAGAGTGCAATGTTGGATAATTAGAGAGCTGATAGGTGAGGGGTATGATGAAATCCACAAGCTTCCATATACCCAAGGACTTCTTTTTCTGCACATACATCATTTGATACTCTTGCTAGAACACTTAAGAGGCAATAAAGAAAAAAATAAAATCTCCATTAAATCCACAATTTTCAATTGTATTTATTTAAAATGAAAAATACTTAAAATATTAACATTAAATGAGCAGCTGATATTAAGGGCTCAAGTAGAAGGCAAGTGTTTTGAGAATGATGATGGCAACAAATGTACATATGTGCTTGACACAATGGATGTGTGTATGGATTATGATGGGAATTGTACGAGCCCCCAATAAAATGATTTAAAAAAATATTAACATTGTCGTTTCTTAAGAATCTTTCAGAACTATATTTAAAAAGTACTGCAATGACAAAACATGCTGCATATCAACCAAATATGATTTATTTTTGGAGAAAAACAATTAAAACAGATTTTTCCAGTAAGAGGGAGAAATAAGAATATGAGATCATATCCTGGTTACATGTTAATAACCACAGTCTATAAAATGTGGATGTGCTCAACATGTATTCAAAGATAATAATCAACACCTGTGATTCCATAGGCACAAATCCCTTGTCCATGTTGTAAGTGAATGTTGAAATAAATACCTAGAAATATGTATATTTTAAAAACTGAAGTTTTTGACAGTTTACAAATTAACCCAAATGTTTATGTACAAATCGTACAGTGAATACAATGACAACACTGTCATCAGTTGCCACGTAGTTTCTTCATTATATGGCTGTCTGGTGCTGCATCCGTGAAGATGCTGCCTACAAACACATGGGTGCCCCAGAGACGATGACGAATCACTTTACAGCAGCCAAGATCATCCACGGAGAATCCTAAATTTCGATAGCGCTCATCAGTTTCAAACAGAGTGTTGTTTGTATACGGTCCAAAAAACTGAAGCAAATAGAAAAAAGGAAATCATACTGTCATTAGCAAGAAAGACACTAGAAATCTACATACCTATTTAATATTACAGATTGCAACCCCTCAATTACCTGAGCATTTTGGAAACAAGAAATGATTAGTAGATTTCACATTGCCCAAAATCACATGACCCAGTCGGTGGGTTAGGTGTTGAGCTGCTAACCAATGGTCAGCAGTGTCAATCCAGCGGTCACTGGCTTCTGTGAAGACAACCTCGGAAACCCCACGGACCAGTGCCACTCACTCTATAAGGGCATTATGAGCAGGAAGTGACTCGGTGACAGTGCCTTTGATTTGGTTAAAAGCACACACATAACATTACGTGACCCTTAAGGATAGAATGAACCAGTGGCAATCAACTCCATGATTTCTAAGAAGAGAAAACTAAAGCCCAGAGCAAGTTTCTCATTTTTAAGTCTGTACTATATTGTATTCAACTTGGAGAACAGTATATATTACTATTCTAAGATTCAAAAAGCCTATTATGACTTTACCACTTAAAAGTGAAAGATACAGATAGGATTTAAAATGTGACCACAATAGTTCAATTATTTTCTTGAAAATATAAAACTGATTTCTAGAAGATATTTTTCTAATACTTATTTTACTAACTATATTTTCTTTACTTAATGCAAATTAAATATCTTTTAAAAGTGTGAGCAGAAATTGAATGCAATGGTCTCAAATAATTTTTTTGGCAAAATTGTAAATTAAACAAAAAACCTCTTTTGAATAATCAATTTTTACCAAAATTATCATCATTTATATATCTCAAGATATTCATACTTCAAATAATACAATCTAGCTTTCAGAATAAATTTAATTACTCACTGCCAAACCAGACGACGGGTCAATAAAGTCAGCCCAGTAACCTTCTGCTCGAAGAGCGTAGCAAATTTCCTTCGCACCACTGATGAACTGAACGATGAGGAAAAGGCAGCTATTGTTTATTTTTAAAACAAATTTTATTACATTAAATGTTTACTCATTCAATACAATCAATTGGTTATTTTATTAAATGTTTACTCTATTTAAGAAGTAATATGCATAATATAGTAGCAATGTAGATTTAGTTTCAGAGAACTCAATAGGATTCATAGTAAACTAAAACTAATGACAAATTATAGACTGTCTAAGATGATTTTCACCACTCCAAATAACTAATAATGCTTCATATAAAGTACATGTCTTCCAAAAAGTCTAAATTCCCCATTTTCTCATCTGAATTTTTCCTATTTTATGAACTATTACTAATCAGTTCTGTGTTAACCCTTGGATTTATCATGAATCAAAACTTTACACTACTGGCATATTTGTTTTCTTTACCAAAATCCTGACAACTGAACCAACAAATAGTATGACGATAGACAGAGAACGACTGAAGTTGCAAGGATTTCGCCTTGCTTAGAAGCACAGACCACGCTCCTGGAAGCAGAAATCAATAATGCATTGCACTGGGGACGTCTGCTGCACAAGACCTCTTTTGAGTTTTGAAGAGGTTTGAAGAGGATGTCAGTTTGAGAACTCAGGTGCACCTAACCAAAGTTTTGACATTTTCAACCGCCCCACATGTACGTGGACGTTGGGCACTGAATAAGGAAGGCCAAAGAACTACTGCATTTGAATTACTGGCAAAGAATATTGCAAGCACTGGGGACTGCCAAAAGAACAAACAAATCTGTCTTTGAATGCTCCTTGGAAATGTGTGCTGAGACACTTCATCTCACATACTGTGGACACATTATCAGTGCGTAGAGAAGGGCGTTATGCTAGTAAAGTGGAGGGGCACAAACACAGAGGAAGACCCTGGATGATATGGGCACACAGTGGCTGCAACAATAAGCTCCAACAGGACAACAAGTGTGAGGACGGTGCGGGACAGGGCAGTGCTTTGTTCTGGTGTACACAGATGGGGTTACAGGATAGCCACGAACAACAGCTGCTCGTTGTCATTATGGAGATACTGAAAATAAAGTAAGGAAAACAAAATCTTCAATAATGAAAACTGAGCTCTTCATTAGTTCAAATGAAAGTAACTTAAAAACATATACTTGCTCGTGGGTCCTTCAAAAACATCTTAACATGCTTGAAAATCACAAAGCGTTTCTGAAAAATCACATAAGTAACAGAAGACCTTGAGGATTCTTACTTTTCACCATGCATCCCTCTCTAGTTTGTAGAGTATACAGTTAACTGTATACCATGCACTAGTGTAACACACTCACAATCTTGGTTTTAACATGCCAATATTCTTTTGCAGTCTGCACTTGTTGTTAGTTGTCACCGAGTCAATTCTGACTCATGGGAACTTGCATGTTCAGAGCATAACTGCTCCAGGGGGTTCCCAGGCTGCCTTGAGAGGCACCTCCGGGGAGTGAGCTAGTATCTCTGCACCACCCAGAGACTCCTTCATTAACTTTATCAAATGTCTGAGGGGTGGGAAAGGCCGGCCTCCCAGCCACATAAGGCATGTGAAATCACCAGCTCACATCACACGCCTCACCAGAGAAGCAGCTCCAGCCGTCACATGAGGATGAGTGGATTAAACGGTGTGTGACCTTTCTGGCCTGCCGATGCTGCTGCTGCTGTTAGGTGGCTTCTGCCCTTAGCAAACATGTGCGCAAAGAACAAACACTGCCCGGTCTGATGCCATCCTCACAACTAGGCTTCAGCTGTGGCGTCACTCCTTCTTGAGGGCTGTCTTGTGTTTCTCTGCCCCTCCACTTTACCAGGCATGATGTTCTTCTCCAGGGAAGGGGCTCTCCTGACAACATGTGCAAGGTTATGTCGGATGAAGTCTTGTCATCCCGGCCTCTCTGGAACGCTCTGGCCGTCCTTTACCAAGACAGAGCCGTTCGTTCTGTTGGCAGTCCATGGCACTTTCAATCTTCTTCTCCAGCACCACCATGCAAAAGCAGTGATTTTTCCTCCAAATGGTCCTTGGCAGAAAAAGGTTCCCTGCCCCTGGTCTACGTAGTGAGAAGATAACAACCCCAAAGAGTAACATCACTGCTAAAAAACAAGGACAGCTGTACTTCTGGTCATAACGGAGTAAAAGACATTAAACATGCGGGTGAAAATGCTACGACGGAACATAATGCATGTAATAACTGTTTTTAGACATGAACCCCAAATGGAGGAGCAAGACAAATCCTTGAGAGGAGGAGTATAAATCCGGCGATCTCTGTGTCGGTTCCAGCTTTCTGCTTGCGGCATTTTCTTGCTGCAGGGAAAAACCATGCAGTCTAAGGACAGTGGGGATCACTGAGTTGAAAAAGTTGAAAGTAGAGTTCTTGTTGGTGAAGCATTTGGAATTTGGGGGCAGCCCAGAGGAGGGAGCGCACAGTAGGGCCCCTGAGCAGTCGGCAGGGAAAATCACCGTAGTTCTTAGTCCACCTGGGCCACTGTACAAGTAGATTCCCTGAGACCTAAAGGAGACCGCCTACCTGGACTGAGAGTTGAATGGTGATACCAAGGCTGTGTCATTCTGAGAAATCTTGGACTTCTGGCTCAGCCAAAGTAAAAAGACACACCACGGAGGTCTCTGGCATTCAACTGAGATCTCTGAAAACCCAAATCTCAGGAATACTAAGTATGCTAGAATCAAGGGTCAAAGCTGCAGCTGTAGGGTCAAACTGTCCTGCTGCCTTGAGTGTAAATAAAGTTTTTCTGGAAAATAGCATAGCTTCATTCACATATCAGAAAAGTTGTTTTCCTACTATAATAGCTGTATTGAACGGATGGGATAGAGCATCTATGATATAGAAAACTTAAAACACGGACTATCTGGTCCTTTCACAAAGTTTGCCCACCCTGATGGCACTGTGAGTTAGTTAGGTGTTCAACTGCTAATCCCAAGGTGGGTGGTCTAACTCAGCAGCAGCTCTGTGGCAGAACAAGGAGCTCCCATCAAGATGCAGTTGGGGAATTCTGCGGAGGACGGCTAAGACTTGGATTCAAGCTGATGACCGTGGTTTGGTCTTAGTACCCTGGTGCAAAAGCATATGACTTATATGCACGTATTTTCTCTAGCTATCACCCTATGGACTATGATAAATTCCAAAGTAATAGTATATTCTTTAGGCTTTTTCCTATACTTATTATACTCTAGAACAGCGGTTCTCAACCTGTGGATTGTGACCCCTTTGGGGGTTGAACGACCCTTTCACAGGGGATGCCTGAATCATAACAGTAGCAAAATTACAGTTATGAAGTAGCAACAAAAATAATTTTATGGTTGGTGGTCACCACAACATAAGGAACTGTAGTAAAGGGTCACAGCATTAGAAGGTTGAGAACCACTGCTCTAGTAAATAGCTGTTAGAATACACTTCAATTTAAACACCCCCTTCTCTCTCTCTCTCTCTCTCACTCACACACACACACACACACACACACACACACACACACACACACACACCCTCTCTACAAAGAGTACGGAGAGAGTAAAACAATGCAATACAAAAAAATTAACTAAAAGAACCCCAAATAACCATCTTAAGAGTATTTCTTATAGGATTTCTATAAATGAATAGCAAATGCTGACATCTGCTGGACACAGTCAGAATAGGTATAATTTTAACTGCAAGGTTAGCAGTTCAAAATCATCAGTTGCTCCACTGGAGACAGACGAGCCTTTCTATTCTCATAAAGAGTGGGTCTTGGCCACCCACAAGGGGCAGTTCTACTGTCCTCTATGGTCACTGTGAGTGGAAAACTGACCTGATGGCAGTGATTTGGTATGAGTGTGTATATGTGTGTACTATAAATTAAGAGCCCTATATCCAACTCTTGAAGAAAATATCAAATAATTTTTAACATTGTTCTGCACGGCAGTGGAAATAGTGAATTTCCTCTAAAGTTAGAGGAACAATCCTTTTTTATAGGCCATAGGTTCCCAAACCTACTTGGCCCACCACCTTTTCAGAAAGCAAACACAAAAACAAAACCACAACTCAACGCACCCCTGGAAATCAAACTTTTGCCCGACAGTCTATAATCCATGAAAAGTGTAGGTGTCTGCTTTTGCAGGCCCCTGGATCATCCCAGTGCCGCCCAAGAAGCGTAATGCCCACCATGGGAAACACTTTTAGAGACAAATAAAGTGATAAATACTATTAACTCCAAATAAATCTTAGGAAAAGATGATGTCATAAAAAAATGGGCACTTTAATTATCCAGATCTAAATAAATTACTACTTTTCACTTCACAGCTTGGTAAAAATTAAAAGAAATGCTAATTAGCCAGGGTAAAGTAGATGAGAATAAGTAAAATAGGGCAATTTCTTTCCTGGGAAAATTGGTGCTATCAAAATTTTAAATGTGCATAGCCTTTGATTAGCAACTCTATAGATATTTGTGTTCATGTTCGCGACACAAAGATATACACTACTGTGCTGACTATATTGGGAAAGGTTGATTTCACCTTATAAATTAGATCTGTAGGTAAAATGCCAAGCACACGTGATTTAGGCAATGTGATTTAAAGAAAGAGAGAGGCATATAAAAAAATTGTAGTTTTTATTTCAAAAAGTTACCCTTTTTCAATTTTGTAAAGACATAAATCTCAAAATAAAATTCAGGAATGATTTAAATTCAGACATAGATTCAGAATCTACATTTTCCCAAGGTATTATAAAACAAAAAACAGCTATGATATTTTCTTTTCTCAAAGAATATGTTCAATTTCCTTTAGTACAGAAGAAATATTTTACCAATGAATTAATAAAGGCTAGAAAGCCATATATTATTTTACAACATTTTCATCTATGGACACATAATTAAAACCACAAAATTAAATTATGGGAAATAAATTACCTTTTCTAAGAGCACTTCTCTTTCACTTTCTACTTCCTCACTCCAAGCAGTCATGTCATTCTTAGTTTTCTGTGTTACAGTCATAATCATCAATTTGTTGGCAGTCACTTCAGGAAAAAAGGATTCAAAATCTAGAAAGAAAATAAAACAGTACATGAAAAAATGCTTTAGAAAAATAGGTGCCTATTATAGCGATACTAAATTATTTTTACAAATATCTGATTTTTTAAAAAAGGATGTTAAAATAAGTTTAGCTTTAGTTTGTTCATTTTACTATCCTTATAATTTTTACCATATTAACGCATGAGATAATAGCTCTAATAATCACTCAGGGACATACGTTATTTAAATTATGCTTTGGAAAAACGTTAGTCACTATGCAACGTTTTGTTTCTAATGTAAGCATGAGGTCAGATGTCAGGGGACATTTATAAGGTTGGCCAAGCAAGCACTTTCAGCTAACATATTATAGGTATAGAGCATCTTAAGTCAACAAAACAAACAACAAACCCCAAGCAACAATAATAAAATTAAAAAACCCCACTGCTATCAAGCTGATTCCAACTCCTAGGAACCCTCGACAGGATTTCCAAAGCTGTAAGTCTCTGTGGGGGCAGGTGGTCTCACTGTGCTGACACGCATCAGCAGGTGGCTTTGAACTGCTCCCTGAGGTTGGTAGTACGACACTTATTGGACAGTGCTGACTTTGATTTTTATTTGATTCTCTCAGATATCTAATGGAATACTGCTTAGCCAACAGGAAAAATGAACTCTTGATACAAGCAACAGGATGAATAGAACTTGAAGAAATGCTGAGAGAAATAAACCAACCACAAAAAGGCAAATTATATGAACTCACATAGAAAGACAATAGAGGTCAAAAGTACAGAGACAAAAGTTTATTGCTGCTTACCATGGGCAAGAGTGAGGGGATGCACAAGGTCAAGGCAACAGAGAAAACACTATTATAAAGACAGTCCTGCAATAAAATAACCTGCAATTAGATGCACAGACATGCAAGCTGAACAGATGTGGGAAGGAGAATGAGAAGACCTCCTGGTTTGACTGAAGACATTTCTGCACATGTATTTTTACACTGCAACTATATCCGTGAACATGTAAGAGCAGAGAAGGGGCAAAGTTATGAAAACTTCTTAGCCACAAACAAGAACCTTGAATAAATGAGTCACTGGTCTTGGGGCGGAGGACCAGTCTTAGGGGAAACCAGTACTAATTGGCATAACACAAGTCCACAAAGGTAGGTATCTACATCCCACTTTGATAAGTGGTGACTAGGGTCCTAAAAGCTCCTGAATGGCTATTTAAGTACTATTGATTTCTCCCTGTCTGGAGCAAAGAATGAAGAAATAGAAATATGCAAAGAAAAAATCAGTCCAATGGACTAATGGATTACTGGAACCTCAATCTCCAGAAGTACTAGGTGGTGCCCGGCTATCATTACCATCTAAAAGGGATTATATTAGAACATCCTGGAAAGAGTGGGAGAAATAATTAAGGAACAAAAAGTGAAATTATAAAAAAGTCCCAGTCAAATAGAAACGGGTGGATCTCATGCAACCACAGCCCTTAATTCTGTCTGAATTGTACTCAGCCTCATGGCTTAATTTTCACCAAACAACAGAACAATAGCATTAGAATCACCCACCACTGGAGATCAAAAGGGTAGCTTTCACCAAGGACAAAGGTCAGAAGGCACAAGAGGAAAGGAAACAAGAAAAACAAGAAGTGTTAGATTGTGTGGGTTGTAATGAACACATGAAGCAAAATGTTGATGGAATTAGTGAATGGAAAACTGATTTGTTCTGCAAATTTACATCCAAGTCATAATAAAGTTTAAAAAGGTGCGATAGATTTATGCACAATATAAAAAAAAAGTGAGATAGAGAGTAGGTGTTTATGTAAAACACTTCATGGAACACAGTCCCTTAATTTGGAGGTTTAGGGCCATGGTTTTGTGCGACATCCCAGTTAATTGGCCCAATAACATGTTTAAGTCTCTATTGGAACTTCCAGTTTGTTGAGTAGCCCTGGGGGTCTTAACAGCTTGAGGCACTACTGATTTCTATGGAGCAGGAAGGAGGAGTCAGGAATAGGATGGGACTGTATGTGTGGCTAATTATCTTCATGAACAACTGCCTGTTTTGCCATGAAGCCGCAAGGACTGAACAGTGCCTATCTACCACTAGCGAACGCTTTGATCAAGGATTCTTTAGAGGAATCCTGATAAAAGGGAGGTCTTAAAAACATTTTGGATTTAGGATCAGAGTGGCAACAGCAACTTGAAAGTTTAGCTAGGCCTATGCGGCAAGCCTATGTCAACGAGGGAGGAACAATTCAGAACTCCAAGAATGTAATTATTGTAGAAACTGCTGAATCTGGTATACATTTTGCACATTCTCAGCAACCACCAGAAAAATCAGAGCATTTTAATGCCTATAGTGTATATTATTCGACACATTCAGAGAGTAATGACATTATCTAAAACACATTGCTAAAATGTATAAAGCACGACATACCTCTTCGCAGCAATTCTGGGCATGTTTGGATTGCACACTCTACTTTGGCACTTTCAAAGTAAGTTTCTGCACTGTTAATTTCTTGTTCAACAGGTACATCATTACCCTAAAGGGAAGACGAAAGAAGAGCAAATAAACCCTGAAATTCAAAGAAAACAACATCATATATATTATGGGTTTACCTTCCCCAGAACTTGGAAAAACTCATTCTAATCTAACTGGGAAGAAAGGAAAAATTACATATGTACAAACTACTTTGTGATAAATATTAAAGTGTTCCAAAGAAACTGATTTAAAGGTAAGAATGGATACATAGACATGCTAAAACTTGTTACATAGTCTGCAAAATGTAGTCAACATTAACTTACAAAATACCATGATTAGATCATACAGTCTTGTCTTACAAGAAGGGTTCAGAGCTTTTTATTCAACTGAACTTTGAGACCCCTACTATATTATACTCCACTATACTAGGCCAGAAGCAGTCACTGTATTAATCGTTAAAAAAAAAAAAGAAACCCAGTCTTTACTCTGGGATCTCTGACCTAGGAGAAGGAAAATAAGTAGAGATACACACATGTAATCCAATATAAAATGTGCTAGTGTCAAGCAGAAAAGTCTTCAAGAACCTTAAACCAAAAAACCCAAACTCACTGTCATGGTGTTGATGCTGACTCATGGCAATCCTACTGACAGAAGAGAACTGCCCCTGTGAGTTTGAGACTATAACTCTTCAGGGCGGTAGAAAACCCTTTCTCCAACAGAATCGCTGGTGGTTTCGGTTCACAGCCTAACTTATAACCACTATGCCGTCAGGAGTATACTCGTAGGTACACTCCCAAAAAAGAGGAGTTGTGCTGGGCAGAACAGAGCTTTCATTTCATGCATTTCCCCCACTGGGTGAGCATCCAGCAACTCGCTCTAAGTTATTGCACACAGTGGCATCGCCTTGGAAGGGTTCGCTCCAATTTCATTTTTTTGTGACAGCTGATTTAAGAGAACAATGTGTGGCTGTGAAATTTTGTTTCCTGCTCAGGAAAAATGCTGCCGAAACTCTCGCAATTTTGAACACAGCTTACGAGGACAGCGCTAAGGAGAAACTCAAGTGTACACGTGATTTTCTCCTTTCAAAAAAGGTGAAATGTTGATTGATGACAAACTCATTCAACTCATTGTGCATTTGGAGTTTGTTCCACCAAGTCAACTGTTAATCAAGCTTTCTATGTGGAGGTTCTGAAAAGGTTAATAACATTGTGCAACAAACTCTGAACTTAGATAATATTAACTTATAGTCCATAGGGCTACAATGCCTCAGGGTTAAGCTAAAAGGCCTTAAACCCCAGCAGTTAGAATGAGCAAGAAATGAAAAGGACACATTTAATTCTGAAGCCACTTCAGATAGGCACCCTAGTGAGACAGTGGTCACGCATGCTCAGCCGCTGCAGGAAAAAGTCAAACTAATAGTAATGGCATGTTTTAAGAAAAAAAAAAAGAACTACTTCTTTAGAGGAGCAGACAGCCTCATCTTCTCCTGGGGGCAGCTGGTGGGTTTGAGCCATGAACCCTTGGTTAGCAGCCCAATGCCTAACCCACAGCACCACAAAGGTCTGTATTTCATCACTGGATACGTAAAACCTGCACACCTAAGCTATCTAAGTAAAGATGCCAGGGAGCAGACAGAAATATAGAGCTCATAAAGAAATACAGAAATATAAAACATAATATTCATACATATTTAACAGAAATTTAGATACAGAAATATTGAATTATTATAAAGATGTAGCTTGAAAAGGAAGTTAAGAGATTAGGTGAGCAGAAAATAATTCACAGAAGAGGATGGATGTAAACTTGCAAGAAATTATCGTTTACTTGATAGGAAGAAAAGCAATACACAACCAAGAAGACTAAGAAGGATTATGCAATACAGGAAGCCAGGGGAGGCCCACTGTGTCCCATTCTCAGTCCATCCCATAAGTACCACAATAATAATGACTCCTATTAGGACTTTGATAAAAAAATCAGTGTGAAATTGTATCAAAATAGAAAAATTGAAAATCGTTAGGGAAATAACAAAAACCTTGAAATGCATGTAACTTTTGACTTGAATGACAAATGATGAGATGTTAATGACAAGAACTAAAAAAAATAACTAATAACATAACTTCCTAAAATTTTAGTTTATTTTATCTGAGCAATTTGAGAAATCTAAATCAAATTTAGAAACTACATAAATTTCATAAGCTTGTAAATGGTTAGGAGTGGGAACTCACCAGTATTTGGTCCAGATACAATTATAATTAATGTTTATAAAAGTGAAAACAGAGGCCCTAAGCATCTAGCCATATAGGAATAACTGTATTATAGTTAATAAGAAACATTTTTCAAGAATGAATTGAGATTATTTGAAAAAAAGTTATAAAGCAACTACATCTAGGTCCATGTCAATGTTTTAAAAGCACAGTTTAAACACACACACACACGCATAAACATACACATATGGCTGTTTTTATATAGATTCAAATTAAGTGGTTCTTACATTTTAAATATAAGTAATATGCTCATATATAACAAAGAAGTAATTTCTATCCTTAATTAGAAAAGTGATCCAAATGGCTTTTTACCTGGAATTCATTAACATATTGAGCCATCACAAACTCGTGCCTCTCACTTGATGAAGGTTCTGCTATCACATCCGGCACAATGTTATGAACTTGGTTTTTCTTCTGTGTAGTTGTCCCATGGAGGTGACAATCAAAGCCTATGTTCCCTGGAAGCTGGAATCGCTGGTCCTGAGGTCCAAACGGTCCCATAGTTTCATCAGGCCATACTGTCCGCGAGCCTACAGGCAACAATAAAAGGAATCATTTTCTCCGTAAGTCAAGGGCACTGGAGACTGGAAGAATGATCTTCATACAAGTTCACATTTTTTGACCTAAAAGATAGTAAGAATTTCTTTAGATAAACAAAAATATTTGAAGCCTACTTTCTTGGGACTATATAATAGTGTCATGCCAGCGCTAGTGGCATAGTAGTTACCTGTTGTGCTGTGATCCACATGGTTGGCAGTTTGAAGCCACAGCTCCGTGGGAGAAAGAATGAGCTTTCTACTCCAGTGAATAGTTAGTCTCAGAAACCCAGAGGGAATCAGCATTGACTTGATGGCAGTGAGTTTAATAAAGCAATCTGCAGAAGACTCCCAATCAGTTAATGTAAACTCGGATAATTTGTTTTATCTGGAAAATGAAAAGTGTCAAACTAGATATATGGAACTATCTTTGTGGGCAAAAAGGAATCCATTAAGCTTTTTTTCCTCCACGCAGTAGAGATTGGAAATACAGTGATGTCAAAGATTGCATGAGTTAGGTATTATCAGTTAAAAAAAAACATAACCATGTATCGAACTTAAAATTAAGCATTTTATTTTTGGTGCAAATACCCACAGTGAAGTATGCTCCCATCACTGGTTACAATCTTCAGTGACAACATTCTCAGTATTTTCCTTTCAGCTGTTTCATTCCCTGTCCCCAACCTTCTCATTTATGGTTTTTAAAATAGCTATTGTCCATTTGGCCTTATATCGATAAAAATTTTTTAATGCAATACTCAAGTATGATAATTTACTTTTTGAGCTAAACTCTTACTTAATTTAGAGGTGACTTCAGGGATAATTTGATTCGAGTGTTTATGTGTAACCCAGGGTGATAGTCTCAGAACTCCTCAAGCATCAAGTCTGCCCTTTTAAGAATGTGAAGTTCTGTTCCGTATTTTTCCCTTTCTACGAGGCTGTGTGGACCTGATCAGAACATACAACAGTGGTAGCCAGGCACCATCTAGTTACAGTATTTGTCTTTTTGTGATTGATTGAATTTGTTCAACAGAATGTCCTCCACCTAACAAGATACTATGAGAAATCAATTGTGTTAGACAGGGTTTCTAGAGAAACAAAACCAGGACACTGATACTTTCATATATATATTTATATAGATAGATAACATAAGAAATAAACAATTAATCTATAAAGCAGTACAAATGGCTCAGTGCAACTCACTTCCGTGAGACAGCTAGTACACTGGCAGTCCTTCAAGTCTTGAGGGTCAGCGGGTAATCCCCTGTAGAGCAATTCAATTCGTTTAGTTGTAAAAGTTTTACATACATAAGTGTACATCAAAAGGAATGCTACTAAAGGTCTAGTTCATACATGCACTGGTTTATTTCAAACAAAATATGTCTCTGTACTCAGTGGATAGCTGCAAACTTTCTCGTGTTTTTAAGAGTGCTTTAATAATAATAAAAAAGTCCAACCAAAACCAATCGCTTCGGAGGGGAAGCTGCTGAGCAAGTGAAATTCAGGGCAGCGATGAAATCATCTCAGACGATGACGGTGACCTTTTGGGGGCTCCTAGGGGGTAATTTTGATAGACTTTCTGGAAGGACAACTTAGAGCTTAATATGAAGAAACCTTAAAAAAACGAAAAACAGTATTTGCAAGAAAAAGGTCAGGAAAGCTACTCCAAGTAACGTTTCCATCACAGAGACGGGCTCATTCTCCCAGCGCCTTAACGGCTGTCCTACGAGAATTTCCTTGGGAAACTTTCCCATAGCAATCCTATAGCCCACACCTTACACTTTCAGACACCTAGTCCCCTAAACCCAAAGAAGTGAAAAAGGAATACAATTTGAGTCCCTCGAGAATGGCCAAACTGCTGTTTTTATGTGGTGATAAACAAAAAGCCCAGAATTCTTTGTGGATGAGTTAGAGAGGGAAATATCCCCTCTAGAAATGTGTAGTGCTAAACAGATAGGAATTGAGCTACCATATGACCCAGCAATCTCCCTACTGGGCATACACACAGAAGAGACAAGAAACAAACCACGGCCAGACTTCTGTGCTCCAAAGTTCAATGCGACAAAGTTGACAATTACAAGGAGTTGGAACCAACCCAAATTTCCATCAACAGACGAATGGATTAAAAAAACTGTGGTACATACATACAAGGGAGTATTACACATTCCTAAAAAGCAGCAATGAGCGCATGAAGCACATCGCTGCATGGGAAGAACTGAAGGAAATCATGCTAAGTGAAGTAAGCTAAGCACAAAAGAACAGGTACAACATGAGTCCACTGAGGTAAGCTCAAAAATGCAAAAGGGGCATAGGGAAGAAGCTACTGTATACATACGTCCCTGGGGTAAGGTCCAGGTAATATGGCAGGGCCAGACTAAACCCAGGGATACATATGGTGGCCAATTAAAAAGGGGGGGGGTGTGTAGGGAAAGCCATAGGTAGTGGGGGGAAAAGGGTACTAACCCACCCAAGGGGAGGGTGTTGATTGTGTCTCCACAGGGAAAGAGGGACCAGACTTTTCAACCTGGTGCTCTAAGATGAGAACACAAAACACTGACATGAAGCAGGGAACCAATAGAGAGGCCTGAGGGGCCGGCCCCATTACCAACTAAGTGGACAGCCACTCCCCGCCCCCCAGAAGAATTCATTTCAGAGGACAGCACTGAAGCTACAGCTCAGGGAGAGGGACATGTCTGACCAGAGCACACAGGAGAAAATGAATGGGAGGAAAAAAGAGTGAAACACATCCTGGCCCACCAAGCCCTGAGGACGGTATTTCTGCTAAGAGCAGCCAGTGCACAGAGAGGACCACAGGGCTGGCTGCACCATAAGACACAACATCCTTCACTGACCCATAGCACCACAGAGGACAACACTGGAGACACAGTGCAGGAATTGTGCCCGATCTACCCCACCACACCGAGGCGAAACACTAAGGGCGTGCAACAGAACAGCAAGGGGAGCAGAGCCATGAAGTCCCCAGGGAACACAGACTGTGGGGCCAGGGCATGGCGCCCAATCAGACTCGACTACAAATCTTCGTAAAGGTCAACAAATAGATCTTGAACTATTTACATGCTTTTCTTTTTTTTTGTCATTGGCTTTTTTGGGGGTTTGCTGTTTTTGTTGTAGCTATTGTTTTATTTTCTATTGTTGATTTGTTGTGCTTGGTCTTGAATTTGTGCATATTATTATCTCTGCATGTCTATCTAGATAAGGGAACAACAAGTGACCGAAAATCAATGGTGAGGAGGGTGTAGTATGTCTGGTAGGGCTTGATGAAGGGTAATGTAACCAAAAGGAATTACTGAAACCCAAATGAAGGCTGAACATGGTAGTGGCACAAGAGGAAAGTTAAAGGAAATAGAGGAAAGAACTAGGAGACAAAGGGCATTTCTAGAGATCTAAATACAGGCATGTACATATGTAAGTATATTTATATATGATGGGGAAATAGATCTATGTATATATATTTACATGTTTAGTATTAAGGAAGCAGATGGACATTAGGCCTCTACTCAAGTACTCTCTCAACACAAGAACACTTTGTTCTAATAATCTGGTATTTTGAGATATTCATCGCCCCACACGATCGCTGAAGACAAATGGGTGCATAATCAAATGTGGTGAAGAAAGCTGATGGTG